CTCCAGGTGCTGCTTTCCCAGCTTGTGACATGGTATTGGGTGAAATGATATCCAAGAATCATTACCGGTTGCCTGCTATCAAGACAGGAAGGGGAAATCCTTGACGATGTCTTGCTCATCTCTGAATGTCCCTCCCCTGCCTTCTGCTCCAGTGCCTGCCTGACACGGAGTAGACACAATAGGTAAGATGGTTGAATAGATTGTTGAAGAGAAGTGAGTGAGATGTTGGCAGAGAGAATTAGAGGAGGGGAGGAGATGATTGAAATGGGAAAAGCTTATTTCAAGCTAACAGTGTCATCAAGGAGAAAGCTATTTTGCACCCTATTGAGAGAACAATCTGGACTGTCCAGGAAGAGACTGGATTCATGGAATTGGATAGAAGCCCCCAGGACTGAGAGTGCAGGGGCCAGTGATGGTCTCCCCTGTGCACCATTGCCCACTACCTCTCTAATAAGGCAGACAGACCTGAGCAAGGGAGGTGGGGAGGGAGCAGCCAGCAGGCGTTTATGTGTGAACCTGTGTAGAGTCCCACTATGCCTGGTAGGACCCCCTGAGGTCTCTATGTCTCTGTCATTGATGTGTGGAGATCTGTGTGTATGTCTTCATATGTAAGTGGCACATGTGCTGGGTTTTCTGTAGTGCATGGATCATGTCTGTGTCTGTGTGTTAGTGACTATGGCTGTCCGTGTGTGCTTGCATGTGTGTGTTCCTGTCCTAGTGAGTGTGAGTGCATGTCTGGCATGCCCATGTATCTGAACGTATCAAGATATGCCTGCAGCTTTGTGCAGGTGTGTGTCCTGCGTACTTCTGTGTCTTGATGTATCTGAGTGACATTGTCTGCAGTAGGGTTTAGGGCAGCAACTTGTGTTGGAGACACGGCACTGGTTCTACATCTGATGCCTCCCTGCTTCATTTTTCTATTTTAAGTAGTCCTTCCTACCTCCTTCAAAGCAGCGCCCATAGTATCTGGGCCTCAGGAAAAGGGTCCTGCATCAACAGAAGCAGGTCAGTACCCAGGAATCCCAGTCCTGTGCCAGACATTTCAAGGGGAACTGACATGAATCCAGTAAACATATCTCCTCACTGAAAGGAGTTAGGAGGTGGGGGGGTTGAAATTTACTAAGCACCTATTATTTGCTGGGTTTTGCTTCAACCATTATACCATGAGGATCCATTTTTAGAAAAAAATGGAGCTCAAGACATTAGGTAATTTCCCTAAAGTTTTCCTTGTAATTTCTTTTGTATGTGTTATTTATTCTCTCTAAAATTATCTTCCACCCTGACTGTCCAGTGAACACCTTCTAGCTGGCCCTGCTCAAGTGCCACCTCTTCTCTGGAGCCTTCCCTGACTGTGGAGAGTGTTAGGGAAAACCCCTGTGCAAGACCAAGGGTCAGATGGGAAAAGATAACTAAACATTTGTCCTCAGAAGCTTCATCATCTAGTGGGAAGATGAACATCACGGCAGAAGAAGTCACTTTAGTGTCAGCAAAGGAGGGCTGAGTTCCAGTGAGAGTTACAAGAGATAGAGGAGAGAGGCAGATGTGGGGGCTGCAGAGTCTAGAAAGGGCACGGAGCTTCTGGGAGGAAGCGGAACCAGAGTTGGATATTGGAATAGGGTAGAAAAAGCATTCCAGGAAGGGTAGAGAGGGCAGGGGAGGCGTGTGAGAAAGTTCTAAGAGGCAGCACAAAGGCCAGCCTGGCTGGGGTCAGGGGAAGCAGCAGCCTATGGAAGCAGTTGTGGGGAAGACTGGAGAGAATATCGGGAGCCATGTTGGAAGGCCTTGGACACTGGGCTGAGCAATCTGCACTGAATCCAACAGGCAGCACGGAGACTGGCTGGGCAGTAAGCTGAGTGGGAAGAGCATGGCTCAGGAAATCCCTGCAATTCTGTCTGCCTGCCTCTCTCTACATAGTTCCGTTGTCACAGCCCACAGGAAACACACTGAAGCCTCTGGGCTAAGATGGATGGTCACACACCTGTCCCCAAGACTGGGGACCTTTGGCCAGGAGAGAGACCAGCCCATAGACTCTGCAGAAGAGGTTGAGGTCTGGCATGCTGCCCTTCAGGTGAGAGAACCTTCTCTGCTATCTTCTTACCATGTGTCCTGTCTTCCTCCCACCCCATTCTCCATCCACTCTGCATTAAGTATTAAGGAGGAAGAAGCCACATTTTAGCTCCAACTCTCCCACACACACTAAAATATCTTCCTTTGCTTTTATATTCTCTCTCCCCAACCTGCCCTGCCCTTCCCATTCCCCAAGTGATCTTGTACTCATTCTTCCAAAATTAATTTGAGCCTCACCCCTTCTGTGAAATCTTCCCTATATCAGCCAGGCAGAGGAAATCACCCTCACTTTGTTCATATAGTTAATGTAGTGCTTATTACATTGTGCATAGCTGGAGGTCATAGCTGCATTACCTCTGTAGCCCCAGAGCCCACAATGCCTTCCCCCAGCAAGCACTCAATAAATAGGCATGAATGGTAAGCTTGAGCCATTTTATTGCCCCAGGGAACTCCACACAGATCAACCCCAGCTTGAACACTGTGCCCAATTCCTGCTAAGAAAACATTGACAAAGCAAAGAGTGAATGAAAAAGGACCTGGAAATAAGATCTTGTAAGAAAGGATCTAAGGCTCCAGTGATCTTCAGGTTGAAGAAAACATCTGTAGACCCAGAATAGATCCCCTTGATAGCTATATAAAAACAAACAAAACAAAACAAACAAATCCAAAAAAACAAAAAATGCAGAGAAAGTAGATTTGGCACGTGTTGTCCCTAGAGGCCAAAATTGGTGTCATTTCTTGCAGAAAATTAGATTTTTTAGTTGAGATTAAGAAAAACAACTAAATAACTATATCCCTCCAATACTGGACTGAACCATTTCAAGAAGCCATAGGAAAAAACCAGTGGATTTCTATATAGGGGAAAAGGAACCAAGATCTATCAGCATCCATTCTCTGCTACTCCTTGTACATACATTACCTCACTTAATCTTCACATAATAAATTGTATAACTTTTATCTGTATACTCATCATTAGTCTATCATCAGCCATGTAAAGCAGGAATCAAGATCATCATATCATAGATGAGATAACTGGAGATTAAATGAAGGAGGATCCATGTTTACACAGCAGTCAGGATCAAAGCCCATGCAGCTGTGACTTCACAGCCAATGCTCTTTCTGCTGCATCACACAGTTGCCTGAGGAGGGGTTGGGAAGTGAAGGTCAAGGTCAAGGGTAAAGGAGAATAATGCACTGAAAAAAAAATGGGTGGATTTGAGGGGTGCCAAAGTCCAGCTCTTCTATGCTCCTATTCTATGATGGGCCAATGAGTAAGGCTTGCAGAAACTAAGGGGGTGATTTCTCTGGGGCGGCTAATGGGTGACAATGACAGAGAAGCAATGAAAGTAGGACACATCCTCTCTTCTTCACCCTCTCTTCATTTCTGTTTTTCACTCACTGCTCCTCAAAAAAACTTAATTCAACAAATATTTTCAGATGCATTTTGTATACAGCTCACTGGACAAGGCAGGGAGATGCAGTTTTTTCCTGAGAGGAGTCTTTTTGCCAGGCACTGACTTGGTCCATTTTCTGGGATCTGACCAGTTTTCCTGGCAAAGGGTGGACTGATCAGCTTTGTAGCAGGACACTTGTAGAGACCTTGGAACAACAGGAGATTGTGGTGTTTTAAGGAAGAAATTGAATGGGAGACAAAATGAGTGCATTATTTCTGAAATCACTGGAGTCATTGGCTAAGTGAAAAATGTAATAGTTTTATGTACAACTGATTTTACACACTGAGATAAGAGCAAGAATAAGCTTTGCCCAGGGTCTCAGTGTCATAATGTGGATGCTTTACTCTTTCCAGTCCATGTCTTCTCTACCAACAATTCCACACAGTCTCTTCCCACTCTCAGGAGTACCCTCTCCTCCTACACCAGAGCATGTCTATTTCGTAAACTCCTATTCATTCTTCAGGGCCTGATTCAAGTCCCACACCTTTTTAAAATTCTTCTCAAGCTCCTCCAGGAAGAATAATTTACTCCAATGTGGTTCATGAAATTAGAAACATACTAAGATACTCAGCATGTTGCTCCAGATCTAACTGAGGGTAGAAGCTGAGACTCTTCCATCTTGCTGTCTCCCACAGTATCCTATATGGGGGTCAACAAATCATGTCTGACTGGGAACGTCCAGTCTTCCACCTGTTTTGTGAATAAAGTTTTATTGCAACATGGCCATGGCCATACATTTACTAATTGTGGGCCACTGCTTTTGCACCACAAAATCAGAGTGGTGTGGTTCCAACAGAAACTATGGCCCACAAGCCTAAAGTATACTTTACAGAAAAAAAAAATGGTTGATTTGTGAATTAGCTCATAATGAGTGGTGAAAATGAATGGCAAATGCAGTAAGGTGTCTGGTGAAGAGATTTAGAGTGGTATTTAGATGGCCTGGGTCCTAACTCTTTGACTAAATAGGTGATGATGATGATGATGATGATGGTGATGATAGACTAATGATGAGTAGTCACATAAAAGTTATACAACTTATTATGTGTCAGGCAGTGTGTTAACAATTTTAAATTTACTATTCACTTTATCCTCATTACCAAGTCCAAGGATAGAAACTAGTATTTTCCTCATTAAAGAAGAAGGAATCCAAGCTCAGAGAGGACATACTACCTTATTAGTAAAGTGAAGACTCAAAATCTGGTATGACAACAAAACTTGAGACTTCCAATCATTACCTTAGAACACCCTTGTGAAATGTGGTTTCTTCATAAAAGTAGGATCATTCAATGAGCAATGTGGTTTTCAATCTGTTTTAGCAAGCAAAAATCTAAATTATCAAAATTTTTGTAAATACTCTGTGTTCGGGATTGTATAAAAATTTACATATGGAACCTCAACATGCAGAAAGTCCACCTGGGGTTCCGCGGATTTCGGACCTGCTGACTCCTCACTCCTCAGCATTCCTACTTGGCTTGGAGTATGGCTCTGGTCAACCTCACATCCGGCCCAGATTTCCTCCTCCTTGGTCTGATGGATGACACAGTTGCCCATCCAGTGTTGTTCCTGCTCTTCCTCAGCGTCTATCTGCTCAACGCCATGGGCAACCTGAGCATGGTGGTACTGGTGAGGTCCGATGGGGCTCTGTGCTCCCCTATGTATTACTTCTTGGGTCACCTGAGCTTTGTGGATGCCTGCTTTACCACGGTCACGGTCCCCCGACTGCTGGTCAGCATGCTCCACCCAGCTCAGGCCATATCCTTCCAAGCATGCTTTGCCCAGATGTACTTCTTTGTGGCTCTGGGCATCACCGAGAGCTACCTCCTGGCGGCCATGTCCTACGACCGCGCGGTGGCGGTCTGCCGGCCACTGCACTACACCGCGGTCATGACACCCTGGCGCTGCAGGGCGCTGGTGGGTGCGTCCTGGGCGGTGTCCCACCTGCACTCGCTGCTCCACACCCTGCTCATCTCCGCGCTCTCCTACCCCCACTCTGCCCCCGTGCGCCACTTTTTTTGTGATGCGACGGTGATGCTGAGTTTGGCGACTTCGGACACGTCCACCGCGGAGACTGCCATCTTCTCCGAGGGCCTGGCGGTGGTGCTGACCCCGCTGCTTCTCGTGTCCCTTTCCTATGCGCACATCCTAGTCGCGGTGCTTCAAGTGCGGTCCGCAGGAGGCAGTCGCCGTGCCTTCTCCACCTGTGGGGCCCACCTGGTGGTGGTGTCGCTTTTCTTTGGCTCTGTCCTGTCTGTATATTTCCGACCTTCATCCGCCTACTCCGCGCATTACGACCGCCTGGCCAGCGTGGTGTATGCAGTGGTCACACCGACCTTGAACCCATTCATCTACAGCCTTCGAAACAAAGAAGTCAAAGGCGCTCTAAAAAGGAGGCTCAGATGCCGAGCTGCACCCCAAGATGTGTAAGGACAGGTCTGGGTTCACCAGCACTTTAGTAATAATACCCAAAACTAAGTTTCTCAATTTGGATCCTATGACATCTTATTTTTTTTGTTAAATAAAAAATTAGATGAAGTAAATATGACATGTTGATTATCGTGGTGGGTACATAGCAGTAAGTCCAACCCATTCAGTGTTGCCAGAGTGCTTGAACTAGACTTGACTTTAAAAAAACTGGGGGCAACAATGAAGGTAAGGCAAAGAAACTTTACCTGTTGGTGGAAAAGGGAAAGAAGAGTGTGACACAGCAAAGAGGGGTGGAGAGGAATGTTGAGAAGCAGGAGAGGTCTGAGGAGTTTTTTCCACATTTTTTGTTGGTGCATTAGAGTTGTACATAACCACGGGATTTATTTTTACTTTTTCATACATGCACACAATGTAACAATGTAATTTGGTCAATATCACCCCCAACACTTCTCCCCTCCTTCCTCACCTCCCATCCCCTTTACTGATCTCCCTTTGATTTTCATGGGATCCCCACCCCATTCTCCTTTTTTTTTTTTTGCTTTTTCCTCTCTAACTTCCACAAATGAGAGGAAACAGAGGACCCTTGACCTTCTGAGTTTGGCTTATTTCACTTAACATGATGGTATCTAGTTTGTATTCATTTTCCTGCAAATAATATAATTGCATTTTTCTTTATGGCTGGGTAAAACTCCATTGTGTGTGTGTGTGTGTGTGTGTATATATATATATATATATCACATTTTCTTTACCCATTTATCTGTTGATGGTCACCTAGGCTGGTTCCATGGTTTGGTTATAGTGAATTTTCCCTTTGAAGGGTATTAAGGAGGTTTTGTTGAATGTACTGTAATATAGCCCTGCAGACTCCTCCCCAGGAAACTTCAGTAAAGATCTAGTTATTTTAAAAGTGTTTTAAAATTTTTGAATTTTACCCCCTATATTATACCAACCACTTTCATTGTGAAAATTCAAAAATAAGGATAAAAATTTTCCTTCACCCACCCAAATCAACCTCCACTGCCACCCCAGTTGTCCCTTCAATCTCTCTCCCTGTCTCTTGTTGAAACATAAATAGTATCTTCCACTATATACTATTCTGCAATTTCCTTTTTTTTTTTTTTTTTTTTTTGCATTAAAAAAGACATGTAGGAGATCTTTTCGCTACAAATAGAATGTATTCATTTTTAATCTCAGGTCCAGAATACTAGATCCTATATATCTTCTGTGGCTTATTTAATCATTTCCTTATCAATAAGTGTTTTAATAAATATTTAAATATGTTTTCCCACTTTTTCAGTATTATAAGGATGTAATGGATATTCTTGCAAAAAAATAAAAATCAACATTTAGTGAAGAACAAGCCCAGTCCTAAGTGTTTCATACATCTATTTCAGTCCATAGAAGTTTCCACAAAGAAACCATTTCTTCCCCATAGTATAAGAGTAAAAACAGATTGAGAGAAATCAAGTAACTGTCCCAAAGTTGTAAGTCTAAGTCCTTCATCTCTTCAATGATTTCTAGTCTTTTCAATCCTTTTCATTGTATTGAGAAACTTTTAATAATATATAAATTCTTGGAGTATAATTGTGGCCACCTTTTTTCTTTTATCTTATTCATTTTAATTGTTCCTGTTTATTTTTTCCTTTTTAAATTTTTTGATCAGCATGCATTAGCTTTACATATTAATGGGGTTTTGTTGACGTTTCAATGCACGCATACAGTATGCACTGAACAAGTCCACCCCTTCCCACTCTTAATTATTGAATTCCCTCATTTGTTCTTCACTTGGCTCCTTTTCTATTCTTAGTGTTCTTTATTTATGCCTTTTCTCTGCTTTGTCTTGTTTTGCATGTTGAAGTTTTCCCTGTGAGGTTAATCTTTTCAAAGAATATTTAGCTTAACTGATGCTAATTCTATTGTTTTTTTTTTTTTTTTTTTTTTTTTTTTTTTTTTTTTTTTTTTTTTTGGTTTTCAGAACCATTTGATTTTTTGGCTTTCACAGTTAGTAATCCCTTCCTCTTATTTTCATCACGTTGTGGTACTTTTTCCTATATTCTTGAGGCTTATGTATCATTTTTGACTTTAGGAGAGGGGTGTCTCTGCTGATGCCATTTTTGGATGTGACATCTCTTAGTATGGACAATCCAGGGCTGTTCTTTGGGGGATAGAGCTGAAGGCCTTCTGGGTCTCACTGGTCCTGCTGATCCTCCTGGAGTAGTAGTTATATTTTCTGTATAACTATGTGGCTTGGACTGCCTCTAAGGTGTGGATGGCATAAATTCTAAACCAACATGAGGGCGTTCGTCCTGGTTCTTAGGAGGAAGTATTTTCTTCCCCTTCATTCCTTAGTCGAAGAGGTCAGCTTCCTTCTCATCTCTTGCTGCTAGGTAGGAAGTTTTAGGAGAACATTCTCATTGAATTTGCAGTCTTGGAAATCCAGAATCCATGTGTGCTTCCAATTCTAGTCTCCAGTCCTATGTATCTCATAAGTTCATGTCCTCTGCCCTGTAACACTCAGGCTGCGAGGGCTTTGCAAGTGGCATCCATGCCCAAGACTGCAGTGTTGGCTTCTGAGCCCACCATCCCTCAACCATGTTCCTCCTTCCTGGATCCTGGAGGTGTCCTGTCCTTTTGGCCAGCTCAGACATGTAGCTTCATGTGTTTAGTTCCTAGAAACAGAGGATTAGCAGAGTTGCTACTTCAGATTTGCTAGACTCTTGCTTCCAAAGCAGAGTCTCCATGACTGTCTTGGTGGACTAGAGGCTGCTTTGTGTGTGTGGAGCATCTTCATCATTGACTAAGTCAAGTCTCTATAAAAACTGTGTCAGCTAGCTGGGGGCTTGTAATCCCAGCAACTTGGGGAGGCTGAAGCAGGAGGATACAAGTTGTAGGTCAGCTTCAGCAACTTAGCGAGAGTCTGTCTCAAAATATAATTAAAAGGGCTGAGGGTGCAGCTCAGTGGTAGAGTCCCCTGGGCTCAATCCCCATTACCAGAAAAATAAAAAAATAAAAATTTAAAAGATAAATCATGCATCAATGAGACACACAACTGTGGAAGAACAATCACATGGTAAGAACCGCTGACATTACCATTTTATTAATAAGAAGTGGAGGCCCAGAGAAACAGGGACTCTTGCCTCAGGATACAGGGCTAAGAAGTGGTGCCACAGGGCTCTGAGCCCCACCTCCCTCCTCTCTGACTTCATTCCCAATATCCATGGGGGGATGGTCACTGCTAGGCTGTCAGGATATGTGTCAGTGTGCTGAGCACCAGCCCTGCAGAGCCGTCCACAGGTGAACAGCCAGAAGGATGGACATTGGAACTCAGTGGGTTTCATTTGGCCAGTGGCTTGCATCCCCCTCATGCCCAGGAGCCTGAGCTGGCCAAGGTGGAGTCACTTGGGTGGGCTTCAGGGGTAGGCGCCATACATTCACAGGAGAAAATCTGCAGCAGGCTTAGGCAAAGCTGCACAGGTCTCAGCAAGAAACACTAATGAACAGAGCCTGAGATGAAGCCCAAGTTAGAATGGCAGTGACACTTGGTTCTGTGGGCTGACAGCAGACCTATGAAGGCTCAGCAAATGAGAAGCCGTTAACAGGACTAACACTTGTCCAAAGGCAGACAGCAACATGGGCCACAACCTGGGGAAGGACCACACTTACCCCACACACCGTGACATAAAGATGCAGTGTCTTCCTGGCAGAATAAGGGCCACTGTGGCACATATCTTTATGACACCCCCTCTGAGAAGCCCTTCCTAAAGCTGCAACAATTTCTACACCTGATGCAGCTGCCAAGTGAGGCAGGCAGGGTCTCTGAGCTGGGTGCCGCATCTACAGCCCTGGGTGCTGCATCCAGAGCCCTGCTGCCTCCTCCCCATAAGCCTTCCTTTTATGACTAAAATTAAGTTTTTATCCACTTCCCATATGAGACCATATATGGAGCTGACTTCTGCAGACACTCCTCTCAGGAAACAGGGAACTCTTTCAAGGCTCCGGGCATCTCCCCTTGCCTTGCCTCTGCATGACACTGCTCCCCTCTCTCTGCCAGGAGCCTCAGCCTCCCTCACCCAGCCCCAGCTCTTGACCACAGCCCCTCCTTGGCCTGGCCTGTGCTGTCCTCCAGCACTCAGGCTGGGGAGCCTGTGGAGTCACCGCTCTGAGGACTAGAAGGCACTGGCCGGGCACTGTGCAGATCCTGGACCTGGGATGCAGGTGTTGGGGGGGTTACTTGCAAAAGCTGCCCTTTCTCATCTACCAAGTGCCTCTTCACAGTTTCTAAAGAAACCCAGGTGTTGTAGAAAGCTGTTGTAGATGGCTATGATAGGTAGATCATCAGCTGGCACTTTCATTGGACCAACTCCATAAATAGCTGCAAAAACTAACTTCCTCCTACTTCAACTGTCAGAATCTGCGGCACATAATACCAGCTCTTCTGATGTATCAGCTGACAGCAGAGTCACCTGTCTCCAGCAGGCTGCTTCCCAGAGCTTACTTCTTTGCCCACAAGCAAAGGGTGTTCTGTAAAGTGCAATGTTAAGGTCTGTAAACAAGTCAGGATGGCGCCTGGCAAATGTTAGAGTCTGTAAACAAGTCTGGATGGCGCCTGGCATTTTGCCAGAGGGAGTGGTTTGTGAAGTAACGCCAGCGAGCCATTAAGTGTGGAGATTCCTAATTGGTTGACTGCTGTATCGAGTTTATGTTAATTAAGATAAGCTGTGTGGAATGTATATATACCGCTCCGGTCCTACAATAAACGGCTCCCACTCCTGCTGTATCAATGTACACAAGTTGCTAGTCACCCCCCAGTTATTTTGCTGCAGCCGGACTGCGGCAGTGCAGGGCTCTTGATAACTGCCCTGATGCACCTACTTTAGCAATTCTGCTTCTGGAAAAATGTACATATTTGCAGGGAAAAAGTTTGCCTTGAACCTCAAAGAAAATTTTGGACTCAGACTTTTGGGCAATGCTGGGACTGTTTATACTATGGGGACTCTGGG